CCTTTTTGCATACTCGCTTGAAACTTGTTATTGGTTTTTTCAAGATAATTATGTCAATTTTAATTTTAATGTCAATGCAATCACACTTGATACATGCGTCGGTTACATATAATTTCTTGAGTGTTTCAGATGTGTTACATCCAAATATAACCATTGGTACTAATATGTGCCCACCAGTTCTATGTTATATTCTTTAAGAGTGGTCATATTCGAAAAAGCACTAATAATGAGGATTAAAAGTTTTTACTCGAGTAGCCATATTATTAGTGTGGTTGAGTATATTAGCGATGAAATTAGGTAATCACACAAATCATGCAAATCAAAGTATTCAATTGCACAAAATAAAAGTTTGAAGATTTAATTACGCGACTAACATAAGATTAAGACAAAGCTTGAAACGATTCTCTTTCTTTCATTTTACGGTGATGCTAAGATACTCATAACAACCAAAAAAGGTGTTTCTTTGCTTAATTTCAGGGAAGGGCTTTGTGTTTTCTCGGTAAAGATTTTCATAATGTGCCCCAAGCTCTAAGTTGCACACATGGTAGCTTAAATTCGACATTTCAAAAATTTATTAATAACATTAAACGATCTTAATAACACTACTAGATTTTTATTGCAACACCAAACAAATTGATAATTTTCATATCTCATTCTACGATTTTGAGCTGCACCTGTGACCCCGGTATTTTGCGGGCACCGAACTATGACCTCGTGTACGCGGCCCTCTTGTCCTCTCCTCGTACAGCGCACCATCGCCCGACATCTGGGTCGTTCATGCAATTAGAGCAAACTCGTTTCCTGCGAGCAAGAGCAAGCCACGATCTGTGGAAGGTTCTTTGAGCCCTAAATGGAAGACGAACTAGCAAGATCGTTCCTTCAACCTTTCCAGGTCATTCAAGCGAGAGAATGTGCCGATCTAAGGAAGCGCAGGTCCTTCTCTCTCAATCTCTAACTACGAGCAAATGCGATGTGGATGTCGGCCGTCCTACATGGCATAATCGGCGCTAACATAAATAATTTTTTACATTTTTTTTGAAATTTGTCTGAAAGGTTGGCCTCGCCAAATCTGGCGATTATCAAGCCTCGTCGGCCTCGGGCCTCGCCAATCCTTGCCTTTGGCTTGTCACCGATCATTGTCGAGGTCCACCAACCAGCCAAAGGAAGAAGGAACGAAAAAGACAATTCATTTAAAAAAATTTAGAAAAATTTAGAAAAATGTAAAAAAATTGTTCATATTAGCACCAGCCGGCGCTAACTAGATTACTATGTCAGTGAGTTCCGGTCAAAATTGGCCGAATTGACTAAATTTGTAAATTGTAAAAATGTTTAGGATTAAATTGACACAATTGAAAGGTTTAGGGCTAAATTGACAAATTGTCAAATGGTATAGGATTAAATTGGTACAATTGAAAGATTTAGGATTAAATTGGCCGCCATGCAATAGATCTATGGCTTTTTGGACAATTTTCCCCAAGCTTGCACTAGCTTATGCTTTTCTTTTTTATGATCTAACACGAGCACAATTTCATTCACAAGTAGCGTAGGTCGTTGTTTGCTTTTTGGCTTTCTTATTCATGCCTTCTAGCGTGCGCACTCACTTAAATGTTTGGCCATCCAGCCCCAGAAACTATAGGTCATTGGTTCAAGGCATGGATGAAGAGGACATGCAATAATTTCAGGGTTGGCGCACTTGGTTTGAGAGTTGAAAGATTTTTACCATGTAAACTAGAGGTCTCTGACCCCCAAAAAAAAAAAAAAACTAGAAGTCTCCCTTTGAATTTTCTCAACTTTATGCAAACCGCTCTATGTTAGGATAATCTGCATAGGTCAAATATCTGAACTTAATCGGTTCATGGTGGTTGCACGATGTTGCAAGGGCCTCCAGATAAACGGATCTCCATGCCTGTGCTCTTAGAATATAATAAAAAAAAAGAAAAAGAAGTAATGCTGATACAAAAAGTCTCACACCTTGCTTTAATATCCACGGGAAATAATGACGATAATATATGTTACTGAACACACGAATGGACAACATTTGAAGGACAATTACAAACCCAATATGTCCTGCATAAGAACTTAGCTGGGCTTTAATGGACCCCAGTCAGAAAGAGCAAGGATGAAGCGCTAACAAATCAGACAAAACATCAGACCATGTAAGAGGATGAGGATCCCATTTGCTCCTCACTTGGTGAGTGTGCATGAAGTCATAAGCCAACACCAAAGTACCATCCATTCTCTTCAGCACAAACCTCTCCACCAACACATAACAACCAAACCTCTTCCAACCCTCGCTTGACTCGCTCTTGATGAACTCCTCCACTCTCTTCACCCTCACTCTCTTCTCTCCCTCCTTCACCCAACCCACTCTCTCTTCCTCCCACCTCATCCTCTCCACAATCACCATGCTCAGTCCTATCGCTCCTCTCTTACTCCTAAACCACATCACTCCATCACTCACATTGCCCTCTGCAGCTTCCTCACCAAAGACGGTGATGGCCTCCTACCGAACAAGCACATCCACTACCACGCCATTGCCTTCATCAGTATAATTGTCACACTCATGGACCTGTTCCCATCTCTGTTGCAGCGTCACCTAGTAAAATGCCGACGTCTTGATCTGGTCCCCAACCTCCCCGTCCTTGACAAACATGAATGGGCAGTACCACTTTCCCACCACCATCGGGTCCGATCTCTTCCTATGGATCGGGAAGTCAAGGCTCGGGAGCTTTGACCTCTTCACATCGTTGACTCCCCGCGCGTCATCTTCCAAGGAGAAATTCTTGGGCGTTTTGCCATGGAGGGTCCAGCCTTTCCTCTTCAGGAATCTCGGAGGGTACCCATCTGGGGCAACGGACTTTGCGTGGAAGCCGCCGAACCCGCACATAATCTCACTCCGGTAGATCACGAACTGCTGGTGTATGTCGTCGGGATCCAAAGGGCTCGGTTTCCTGTCTCGAACGTATCGGAAGCACGAGTAGGTGCCTTTGTCTTCTTCTGTCGAATTAGCATGCGCTTCCCTACGCGGCCATTCAAGAAAGAATGATTTAGACTTCCAGAGAAATGCCATAAATATAAATCATGCAATAAGCAGCTAAACTTCTAGTGGAACCAATTTGCTAAGTGACGTGATAAGACGCAACTTCAACTATTGCAACAAAAGCGAGTTCTAGCACAGATTTTTTCTCACCCCCACATCATCCATCCAATGATATTCCCCTGTCCTATTTATAAATATCAACATAATCATCACTTAATTCAAGAACAGACAGGAGGTGAAACTATTCAAAGTAGTCAGAAAGATCATACCCTTTATGCTTCCCGCGACGCCGAATCACATAGTACTGATTGGAGGATAAGGGCTGGCCGACGACTGGGATCATCACCTCATCATTGGAGAGTACCGTGCTCATGCCGCCCTCGCTGTCACTTTGGAAATCCGTGTACCGGACAGTGAGGTCCTTGTTCTGAGGGAAGGGGAAGTCGTAGAGCTCACGGTCCTTGCACAGCCCGAAGCAAGAGAAGTTCTGGGCTTCCTCGTCCTGGATCACCAGGTATCCAGAGCCCGGCCCCGCCGGTGGAGCCTTGGAGAGGGCCTCGAGGCGCTTCCGGTACATGGATAGAGGGCGCGTCACATAGATCTTCAAAAAAAGAAAAATAAGAACTTCAGTATTTCGTTACGTAGTCTTGAGATGTCGAAGATTTGTTCATTTGTGTGAGAAACAAGAGTTTCTTAAAGTAATGCCCCCATTTATAAGAAGGTGGGGTCGCAATTCAGATATCATATTTGTATTAGGATGTCTATCATATCGTCACCTGCTGACTCGTCTTCTTCGACTCGGCTCCTTTTCTTATCCTCGCCGGTCCTCGAAAATTCCAAGCACATTTTCGATTAGTTTTGTTCATGACCTTTTTGTCTTTGCATGTGTTTGAAGGAACGAATACGACGATAGCCCATAGTTTTCATGCACTACAAGTGCATTTTCGATTAGATATTATCTATGTTCTCTAGTGAATTTCACCGGTCCAAAGTCTTGGACAAGCAGTTCAGCAACCATTGCTGATCGTGATCGAAATGTCGATGACGCCATTCATTGAAAAAGCTAGATAATGGATCCCGTGTCTTTGAGTTGCAATAGGAGAACTTGCTCATACTGAGCAATCGCCTAATCAATTAAGTTTCGCCTTAATTGATAACATCAATGATAGTGATCTTTCTCTGAAGCAAGTGGATGAAATTGTTGAGACAGAAGAGCCTATACTTTTGCCGCTCCCGCTCCTATTCGTAGGACCACTCGAATTTCGCAGTCATCTACTAGACTTTGTGACTTCACCACTTATCATTATGCTCGATTTTCTATACCTAATTATATTTGCTATGATAAAGTTTCGCTTGCCTTCTATGCTTTTTTATCAATTGTCGATACTCAGAAAGAACCCGCTACCTTTCTTGAAGCCCGAAGTTCTAAAGTGTGGCGAGATGCTATGAAAAAAGAGCTATAAGCACTCGATAAAAATCGAACTTGGGATATCGTTACCTTATCTAAAGGAAAGCATGCCGTTGGCTGCAAATGGGTGTATAAAATTAAATACAAGAGTGATGGTTCCATTCAACGTCACAAGGCAAGACCTGTTGTCAAGGGCTACACTCAAACATATGGTGAGGACTACAATGAAACGTTTGCTCCCGTAGCAAAAATGAATTTGGTGAGAGTACCGATGTCTATAGCAGTAAATTGTGATTGGCCACTCTTTCAAATGGATATTAAAAACACGTTCGTACAAGGTGAACTAGAAGAAGAATTTCATATGAACATTCCTCTTGGACATCCTTCAGAAATCAATCAAATGCAATTTGCAAGCTTAATAAAACCATCTACGATCTCAAACACTCGCCACGCGCTTGGTATGGAAAATTAAGTTCCGCTCTTGAAAGTGTGGGTTTCAAAAAGTGTGATTCGAATCCCTCCTTATTTGTGAAGTGAAGTGCCAAAGGAACGATGGCTGTCCTTATCTACATGGATGATATAATTATTATTGGTGATAATTTTCATGAAATCGAGGCTCTCAAGCGACACTTGAATGTGAAATTTCACATCAAGGATCTAGGAAATCTGTGCTATTTTCTTGGTATAGAGGTGGCTTACTCTAGTAAGGGATTATTCATCTCTCATAGGAAATATACTCTTGACTTGTTAAAAGAAACTGGGAAACTTGGAGTTGCTCCTGCAGAGTCTCCCATTAAGTATAACAGTAAGTTTGCGGATAATGTCACCCCATTACCCGATAATGGTCGGTTTCAAAGGTTGGTTGGACGGCTGATCTACTTAACTATTACCTGTCCAAATATTACTTACGTTGTCGGTTATGTAAGCTAATTCATGCATGCTCCTAGTGAAGGACATATGGCGCTTGTGGATCGCATACTTCGGTACCTAAAGTCTAGTCCAGGTCGGGGTATTTTGATGAAGAAACATGGTCATAGTATCATAGGGTACACTGATGCAGATTCGGCTGGGAGTCCTACGGACAGAAAATCAACTACATGCTTTTGCACCGTTGTAGGTGGCAACTTAGTGACTTGAAAAAGTAAAAAATAGATTGTTGTGGCAAGTTCCGGTGCAAATGCTACATACAGAACCATGGCCTCAACTACAAGTGAAATGGTTTTGCTTCGATTGTTTGTTCAAGAATTGGGGTTTAGAACTCCTAAGTCTCCAATTTTCCATGAACGGACGAAACATATAGAAGTCGACTATCACTTTGTTTGTGAGAAGGTTCAAGACAAGACAATTGAAACTCCCTATGTCCGTAGTGATGAGCAACTTGCAAACGTATTCACCAAGGCTCTCTCTAAACGTGTTTTCCTTGAATATGATATCCAAGCTAATCGCTAAGGATGTCTTCGCTCCAGATTTGGAGGGGCAGTGTTGGAACGATAAGGATGCCATATCATCCTAACCTCAATATAGTAGGAGATCATGCTGGGTTGTGCGATGGCTATAGTTACCAAATTAATGACTGTAACCCATTGTATTACTCTCTATCAAAGGATAATGAATCCTCTCCCAAACAAATAAGATGAATTGGGGATTTAACACCGTGGATGTAAGCTTCTAAGCAATTATACTCTTGGTCGTCTTAACCGCGTTAACGATTGAGTGTCCCTCTTCTCTTCGTTTATCTCTCTTCTATACATAATTATCTTTTAAACATAGCTAAACTTTTACCAAAACCTATTTGCTAAGTGACGTGATAAGCTGAAATTTCAACTATTGCAACCAAAGCTAGTTCTTGCATAAGGTTTTTCACATCCCCACATTATCCATCCAATAATATCTCCTTGTCCTATTTGCAGATATCAGCATATTCATCACCTAACTCAAGAACAGACACAGGATGTGAAACTATTTAAAGTACTTAGAAAGATCATACCCTTTATGCTTCCCGCGACACCGAATCACGTAGCACTGATTGGAGGACAAGGGTTGGCTGACGACTGGGATCATGAATACCCCCATCGTTGTAGAACCTCGTGTGCTCGCCATGGTTCTCAGTGCACCGGACGTTGAGTTCCTTGTTCTCAGGGAAGGGGAATTGGTAGAGCTGCCTGTCCTTGCACAGCCTGAAGCAGCAGCAGTGGGCTTCCTCATCCTGGATCACCAGGTATCCAGAGCCCGGCCCCGCTGGTGGAAACTTCGCAAGGGCCTTGTGGGTGCTACCGATTCATGGACAGAGGCCGCGTCAGGTACATTTTCTAAAAAATAAACTTCAGTATTTTAGTACGTAGTCTTAAAGTTTTGAAGATTGGTTCATTTGTGTGAGAAACATTAGTTTCTTGAATTAATGCTACTACTAATAAAAAGGTGGGTTTGCAACGTGAAGGATCAAAATTTCTCTCTCGGTTACGTGGACAGTCGTTATCAGCTCAGTTGACCCCGCGAAAATGATTGGATGTTTAGCCATCACGAAAGCAATCACAAGCTAGAGCAGATACTTTTATTAGGATAAAAATCATATCGTCGCGATGATAATAATTACAATAATATATTTTACAGCGTAAACGGATGAACAACACTTGAAGAAACAAGCACAAACCCAGTATGTCTAGCATAAGAACTTAGCTGGCCTTTAATGTACACCAATCAGAAATAGCACGATCAAACCAACAAAAAACAGAACACTGATAGAGAAAATCTGTCACTCCCATTTGCTCCTCACTCGGTGAGTGTGCTTGAAGTCATAAGCCAACATCAAAGTCCCATCCATTCTCTTCAGCACAAAACTCTCCACCAACACATAACAACCAAACCTCTTCCAACCCTGGCTCAACCCGCTCTGGATGAACTCCGCCACTCTCTTCACCCTCACTCTCTTCTCTCCCTCCTTCACCCAACCCACCCTCTCTTCCTCCCATCTCATCCTCTCCACAATCGCCATGCTTACTCCTATCACTCCTGTCCTACTCCTAAACCACATCACTCCATCGCTCACATTGCCCTCCCCAGCTTCCTCACCAAACACTGCGATGGCCTCCTTCTGAACAAGCACATCCACTTCCACGGCATTGCCTTCATTGGCATAATTGTCACAGGCATGGACCTGTTCCCACCTCTGTTGCAGCGTCATCTCGTAGAACGCAGATGTCTTGATCTGGTCCCCGACCTTTCCGTCCTTGATGAACATGAACGGGCAGTACCACTTCCCCACCACCACCGGGTCTGAGCTCTTCCTGTCAATCGAGAAGTCAAGGCTCGGGAGCCTTGACCTCTGAGAGTCGTTGACTCCTGGCGCGTCGTCATCCAAGAAGAAGTTCCTGGGCGTTTTGCCATGGAGGGTCCAGCCTTTCCTCCTCAGGAAACTCGGAGGGTACCCATCCGGGGCAACGGATTTCGCGTGGAAGCCACCAAACCCGCATATAGTCTCGCGCGGGTAGATCACAAACTGCTGGTACATGTCGTCAGGATCCAACGGCCTGGGTTTCTTGTCTTTAACGTAGTGGAAGCACAAGCAGGTGCCTTTGTCTTCTTCTGTCGAATTAGCGTGCGCTTCCCTACATGGCCATTCGAGATAGAATGATTTAGACTTCTTGAGATACACTTAAATAAATCATGCAAGAAGCAGCTAAACTTCAATAAACTTATTTGTCAAGCGACGTGATAAGGTGCAACTTCAACTATTGGAACAAAAGCGAGTTCTTCCATAGATTTTTTTCAAACCATCCCAATATCCATCCAATAATATTCACTTCTCCTATGTGCAGTTATCAACATATTCATCACCTAATTAAAGAACAGACAGAGGAAGTGAAACTATTCAAAGTACTTAGAAAAAGATCATACCCTTTATGCTTCCCGCGACGCCGAATCGCATAGTACTGATTGGAGGACAAGGGCAGGCCAACGACCGGGATCATGAATACCCCATCGTTGTAGACCCTCGTGTGCTCGCCGTGGTTCTCCGTGTACCTGACTGTGAGGTCCTTGTTCTGAGGGAAGGGGAAGTCGTAGAGCTGGCTGTCCTTGCACAGCCCGAAGCAGCAGAAGTTCTGGGCTTCCTCATCCTTAATCACCAGGTATCCAGAGCCCGGCCCCGCCGGCGGAGCCTCCGAGAGGGCCTCGGGGTGCTTCCAGTACACGGACAGAGGCCGCGTCACATACATCTTCCAAAAAAAAAACTTTAGTATTTCTATACGCAGTCTTGAAATGTTGAAGATACGTTCATTTATGTGAGAAACATTAGTTTCTTGAATTAATGCCCCTGTTTATAAGAAGGTCAGGATGCAATGTCCAGGATCAAACCGGTTGACTTTTATTACGAGGGTAAGTGCGCAGAAATTTCTCTCTCAGTCCCGTGCGCGGTCGTGATGAGCTCGGGTGACCCCGCTAAATTGATTGGATGTTGTGGCGAGCAAGCAAGAACTAGAGTAGATAATATTAATTAGAGAGAGCGACTTAGTCTATTTCCACCTGGCTCCTCTTCTTATTCCTCGCTGCTCCTTGAAAGCCTCATGGTATGTTTGCTTGGTCAATAAGGTTTTTCATTTTCTATTAGTTCTGTTCATTGACCTTTTGCCTTTACATGTGAAGGAACGAATACGACGATAGCCCATAAAGAAATTTATGTTTTCTAGTGAATTATCACCGGCCCAAAGTCTTGGACAAGCAGTTCAGCAAACATTGCTGATCCCGACAGTCGATGACTCCATTCATTAAAAAAAAAAAGAAGAAAATTTGTACTAGAAGAATGAAATTCAACTGTTCTTTCCATTTGACTTTCTTTGTTGACGAGGTTGTGGTTTTGTTGCTCTCGGCGGAAGGAATCGCTGTGGTGGCTGACAACGGTTATGGAGATTTTTGTGGCGGGTGGTTTTGGAATTGGCAAAGGAAGGGGTGCGATGTTTTTCTTAGAATTCAGAACTGAAAAAAATGATTTTTTTTCCTTTTCTAAGTACAGAATTTTATGAATTATTGTCCGAGGGGGCCCTTACTTTGTTTTGCGGTCGGACCGGGACGGTTATGTCCGTTTGCGCAGATTTTCGTTTAGTTTTTGCAAAAATTTCGCTGATCTGCTCGCTTTCCACTAACTTGGCCATCCTTTGGTTTGATGTAACTGTTGATTTTTTCCTGAGAGCAACCGATGTTGGAGAACCTTGAGCGTAGTTGAGATGCTAGTCCTTGTGATATGATATAGCATGTTGGATGGTGATTATGGAAGGTAATTCGTGCTCTTAATTGTTATTAGAGTTCTTATAAGAGTCACTTTTGTTGAATTGGGATTTTAATGTGTCTTGTCTTTTGTCATGCCTAGAATAGAAACCTGAAACAGAGCTAGCACATGAAGAAACCAGAACTGCAGAGCAGAACACATAGAATTTTGCTACTTGACTCATACAATGTGTACAAAGCTTTGACAAATCAATCAATCCTTCTCATCATTCCCATTTATTCCTCAGTTGATGAGTGTGCTTGAAATCATAAGTGAGCACTAGACTCCCATCCATTCTCCTCAACACAAACCTCTCCACCAACACATAACACCCGAACCTCTTCCATTCACCAACACCACCAAATTCCTCCACTCTGTTCACCTTCACGTGTTTCTCATCTCCATCAACCCAACCCACCCTTTTCTCTTCCCACTTCATCCTCTCAACAATGGCCAAGCTCAACCCAACTCTGTTCTCTCCTCTCATATCACCAACACTTCGACACCACAACACCCCATCAGCCACATTCGCATCCACGGCTTCCTTCCCGGCCACAGAGATGACCTCGTTTTGCATAACCACATCCAGAGTCACCCTATCGCCTTCTTTACCATTGTTTTCGAGAGTGTACATCCGTTCCCATCTTTGCTCGAGTGACATCCCATAGTACATGGACTTCTTTATTTGGTCTCCTACCGTCCCATCCATGACAAACATGAATGGACAGTACCACTTCCCCACAACCACCGCGTCGGATCTCCCTTGTGCGATTGGGAACTCAAAGCTTGGAAGGAGTTCGCGCCGCGGGCCGTCGATCCCTGGTGCGTCGTCCAAGTAGAAGCTCTTTGAGGTCTTCCAATAAATCTTCCAGCCCTTTCTCTCCAAGAATCTTGGAGGGTATCCATCTTGTGCAACGGATCTGGCGTAGAACCGGCCTGAGTCGAACATAGTTTCATAGGGATAAATCACGAAATGTTGATATGGGTCGTCGGGATGAAGCGGCGCCGGATCTGCATCTCTAACCAAGTGGAAACATAAGAAGGAGGGCATGTCCTCTTGCTTTGAATTTGCATATGCTTCCCTACAAAAGGCAATTCGCAAGACAAGTCAATGGAAATAACTTCACCATACACTGCACTGAAAATTGTACCTTTGTTTTCCTTTTTATATGGTAAATTTTATCTTTGCTTCATTACATCATGACATGATCCACGAGATAATAGATCAAAACTACGTAATGAAATGAAGAAGAAGACGACTTTTTCTTTCTCTTCCCAGTAAGTTGAGGAAAATTCTTTCTTTCAAGTCAGTGTTGGAACATTTCTATCGTTATATGCTGTCCATAACTAAACGTGAACAGCACGGGACAGAGGAAATGTTTTCAGGTAGTGATTTTGATTCGTACCCTTTATGCCTCCCATGTGGCTGAATTGCGTAATAACGGTTGGATGACAGAGGCTGATTCAGAACCGGAATCAAGACTACATCGTCTCTGTAAGTCGTTGAGCTCGAGTGGTTGTGGCCAGCTCCTCCGCTGGTCCTGTATTCGATAGTGAGGTGCTTGTCCTGAGGGAAGGGAAGTTCATAGATCCAGGTATCTTCGCACCGCCCAAAACAGCAAGTATTCACGGCTTCTTCGTCTACGATCACCAAATAGCCCGAGTTCGGGCCTTCCGGAGGAGACGACAGGGCATTCGGGAATTTCCTGAGCAGAGAGAGAGGCCTTGTGACGTACATCTTCTTCGCTTAATCCCCAGCAGTAAACAAACGTAAACATTATTACTTTAGTACGCAAACGCCCGGTATTTATATTGCAGAAGATGATTGAATTCAAATGCCGTAGACATCACATACAAGCTAACCATATCCATTGTTGACCAGTCACCCCTTTGACCATCTCTTCTCTTGTTGTTGACAGACTATTCCTATGCAGAAACAGAGAGACAGATGGCTCTCCTGAATCCACCCTGACATTTGGAAAAGTCTTTCTACTCCTATCAGGAGAAGTAATCATCAATTCCGCTTCCTCGTTTCCTTTTTACTTTTCTTTTGATGCTTTTTATTTATCATTTGAGCGACAAAGCTGGTTACAAACAAATGACTAATGAGCGTATGCCTCCAATCAAATTCCAGCACCCGGATCGATCGTTGAATTGTACTAATTAGTCTAATTCAAAACCTACCCTTATCAGCATTCAGACTGTACGTACCAATAATTTTAAGACAAATGTGATAGATTGTGGACAGCTAAGGAAAGTGGAATCCTTTTTTCTTTGGAGGGTAACAAAATGAGGAACCCTTCTTCCTGCAAAAAATGATATATACAAATGAAATAGCATGATCAAACAAACTATGTCAGATTGAGATAACTTTCATAAAATTTAAAAAGGTAAAGTCCTAGAAAATCTTATAAAACTGTTCATTGTGATATCAGTCGATCCTTGTCCTTCCCATTTAGTCCTTGGTTGACAAGGGTGGCTTGAAATCATTAGCAAGCATCACAGTCCCATCCATCCTTGTCAACACAAGCCTCTCCACCAATACATTACATGCAATCCTCTTCCATTCACCCACAACACCATACTCTTCCACTCTCTTCACTCTCACTTGCTTCTCATCTCCACTAGCCCAACCCACCCTCTTCTCCTTCCACTTCATCCTCTCAACAATGGCCAAGCTCAACCTTCCTTTGTTTTCTCTTCCCCTATCACCAACACGCCAAAACCATATCACACCATCGACCACGCCAGCATCATCCACAGCTTCCTTCCCGGCCACCAAAACGACCATGTTTTGCACGACAAGTTCTGCAGCCACTCTTCCATTTGCTACCAGTGTTCTCGCAAGTGTAAATCTATTCCCGTCTTCGCTTGAGTGCCATCTTGTAGTACAATGACCTACTCACCCAATCTCCTAATGATCCATCCTTTCACCAACATGAATGAACGGTACCATTTCCCTACGACCACTGCCTCGGAGCTCATGGCTCCGTGGTTGGGAAGTTAAAGTTTGGAAGGCACCCGCTCCGCTGACAATCGCCATGCTTTTTCCAACTAAAATTTCATAGGGGGTTTTTCTTTAACTGACCAGCCTTTTCAATCAAAGAATATTGGTGGACGCCCATATCACTGGATAGATTGCGCACTAAACCAACCCGGGCTGGAGCCAATGTCATAAGGATAGATCATGAATTGTTGATATGGGTTGTTGGGACGAAGGGGTAATGGATCTACATCTGCGCGGTATCGGAACCATAAGAAGGAGGCCACATCCTCTTTCCTCGAATTGGCATGTGCTTTCCTATGGAAAGAAACCTCAAAATGCAAGTGAATTGGAATGCATACCAGCAAATCTTTATGTTCCTTCCAGCAGTTCAAGACTATGGTTTTTAATGTCAAACGGCTGAATAGTCGTCTTCCTCATTTCCTCGACTTCAAAATTAGAATATTATAGTCATTCTAATTACTACTTCCAAATGCCATTAATAGTAAGTTTTCATGAGTCCATTTGATAGGCACAGTTCAACAGATTTGAATCATGCACCATTTGTGTCTTAAATTTAATCCCTGCACAAAACCCTGAAACCTGAGCTCTACAACCCTAACAATTCATTCAAAACCATGCACAAGAAGAGTACTCTGCATCTCCTGTATATCCTAATTTCAAAGACGAATGGCTCCGCACTGATAAAGTTTTTTTTTTTCTTTTGGTTAGACACTGATAAAGTTGACTAGGTACTCGTTATTCCAGAACAGAGGCTATAAGTTACTAAACAACCATAAGATAATGCATTATCGGGCATCCTAATTTACAGACAAAATGAAGACGATGTCGAGTTTTATTCTTTAAGCGAGTTAAAGCGAGGAAATTGCTTTCCACACAACCAGGTGCCTATCATTTACAGATCATATGAACTGACCAAATTAATGAGTGAACAGAAACAATTGCAATGCAACAACATATACTTTTTCTTTTGACACAGGGATTCGATTCATCGTGCCCAATATACGCGGCACACCAAGCATATTCATCCTTTCATATTTATTAAAACTGATTCAGTAAAGATTACTAAAACTTATTCAATACTTAGATTTTCAGTACTCGGTTTTCACCTTTACCAAACAGGCCATTTATCAATAAACTATTATTAATTCACATTATAATCTATTTTATTTATATAATTTGATTCGACACATCGAAAAATTAAAGTGAATGAATGAATGCATTAAATTTAATATTTCAAAAACATGATTAAGGACAAAGCTCAAAAAGTTTAAGTTTTGTAACACGACTTGTCTTTTTTATCTACAATTCAATAAAATTGAGTCTAAACTTGAAAAAATAGATAAAGGTATATCTTCAAACATATTTTAAAATGATATGACCCATTTACAAATATATTTCAATAGTAAATCCAATAAGATATATTTAATCTTAAATATTATGCCCTTTTATAAATATCCATAAATGGGGCCATACCTTTGTTATATAGCTCCACAATCCCCAGAGCCAAGGGAACAGGGTGGTGGCCGAGATTCTTGTTGCAACGACTGTCAGTTGTTTATGCAAGCAGTTGGAGTGTCTTCAAGGTCATGGATCGAAGCTATGTTCGGTATGCATGAACAGCCAACAAGTACTTAGACAGGGCCCATTCTAGCATGGGTGAGCCAAAGCATTTGGGACCCATCATGTTACCATCATTGACCCATCCTCCTTTGGAAGCTGGTATCTGCTCTGTGAGGGAGTGAGCTGCATATAAATCTTTACACAGATGAAACAATTAGCAATGCCCCACATGCAATCAAGCGAAGTAAGGGTCCTACGACAGAAGCAGTACATCATTCTCTGAACTTCTTAAGAAACAAGTGAAATAAGAATTTGCACCTTTCAAGTAGGATGTCAGGAAATAGCATCACGAGCAAACAGAACGTCACATATTCTTTCCTCTGTGGAGACACTATCTTCTGCATGAACATCGTTTAACCAACTCTTCCTTTCCTTCTTGAATAACTCCACTTCGAAATCTCTTCCACTTTTTCTTAGACCAGCTAACAGTAAATCATAAGTTCCTGATGCTGGACGGATTCCTTTCTTTCTCATGCTTTTGTACACTTTAAGTGCTTTATCAGCAGCCCCAGCACAGAAGTATACACCCACCAGAGCAGTATAAGAGGCAACGGTTTTAAGATCCTGTGGCAATAGATTGAAGACCTTCACAGCATACGTAGGTCTTCTAGCACGGCCTAGTCGATAGATTAGAAGTGAAGCTAGATAGGAACCTGGAGAATGTCCAGCTCTTATCATTTCCTCAATGGCATCTACTAATGCCATCCTCCCCCACTCATTCGATCTAATTAAGCAACCTACAAGTGAAAGAAATGCATCTTTCTCAATAGTAATCCCCAGCTTCTTACTGTATTGAAATGCCAACAAAGCACCATCTACTCTACATCGTCTACAGTTTTCTTCAATTATGGTGGAGGTAATAGCCGCATCCAAGTGCATATTCTTACCCTCCATCAAAGCGAGTAGATAATCAATAGCAATGAGACTTTGCTTCTTCAACAAAAGCAACAGAATCCCATTTTCGGAAGAAACAAAAGCATCTACCAAGGATTCAGCTGGCCCTTCTTTTATCACACATTCATCAGAGAAATGACGATTGACTTGCCATAGAAGTTCACCACTCTCACCAGCACTATTCAAGAATTCCATTGCTTCCTGAAAAACAGGACGACGAAGGACGAGATAGTTTTCTTTCATGAAGAGAAGAATTTTCATAATCATAGTTACTTCCCCTGCTCTGCAACATTTCTCGATCAATATATTGCACATCGCTTTATCGGGTGAAACACCAGCTTCTTGCATGTTGTTAAATATCTCAAGAGCTACTTCATGTTTTCCTGAAATGATCAAAATGAGATGATTTATTTCTTATAAAGCCATAAATCCCAGCAAACAAAGCTCAAACCTTCACAAGAATGCACAGGAAGAGGCTCCTAAGGGAGAAGTTAGACAGAAACTAAAAATGTGCCATAGCACAGCAATAATGATAGCGGAAGCAGTCAAAGTTAATTACATGGTATTTCCTAGGCATTGAACTCCAATATGACACTCTTAACTAATGACAGGAAAAATTCAAAGAAGTTTTCACCTGTAAGACGATAGGATACCAGAATTTAGCGAATCAGAAAATAGGAAATTGTACGCAACAATGCAACATCATTGGGTCAAGCTACCAAAAGTATGGTTGTTGATGAGATTTCTGTGAGGAAATCCTAGACAAGTCAGCTCACGATGCACATACGTTCTCCGTCGCCACAAACATGAATGACTGATTTAAAAGAATGCACAGAGGCAATGAAGCAAACACGACGAGGGCATCATAAACACAGTCCAATCGCACTTACCACAACCCACAAGATACTCCATCAAAACAGTGTAAGTGTGACAAGTCGGAGAACAACCGCGTCCGACCATCTCCTTATAAACATCAGTAGCCTCCTTCACCTTATCGTTATCGAACAAAATCTTCATATAAGCAGTGTACGACACAACAGTAGGACGACACCCCTTCTCCTTCATCTCCCCCCAAATCTCCATCGCCCTACCGACGTCCCCGGCCCTCGAATGCCAATGCATCCGCGACGTGTGCGTAACCGCATCGACCTTGATCCCCTTGCCCACCATCTGCTCGAACACGTGCTCCATCGACGCGACCCTCCCCGCCTCCCCGAAGATGTCGAGCATCGTCGTGTGGGTGTACTGGTCGTGCTTGAAGCCCCTCAACTCGGATGCCCAGTTGAAGAATAGCCAGGCCTTCTCCATGGGCGGGTGGGTCTTCAGCACCCGGTTGACCGTGTACGAGTCCCACTTCATGGGCAGCCTCCGAAGCTGGTCCCGGGCAGAGTCCCAGGTGGAGTACTTGAGGATCCTGTAGATGCGGGCGATCTTGTCCCTCATGTACGCCTCCGGGTCCACATTCCGGCGGGCGGCGATGGGCTCGGCCGCGGGCTCCTCCGCCGCCACGCGGGGACGCCTGGCGCGACCCGGTCTTGCGGGTCGATGCGAGGAGTGGAGGCATTTGGTCGATACTGTGGAGCGAAGGAGGGAGCGACCGGCGCCGGGGATCGGACGAGGAAGAGCTGTTCTTGAGATGTCGGCAAGAGATTTCAAGAAGCTGCGCATCGCAGTGAATGCGTTAAGAGGGCGAGTGAGGACGACGACGGGACACGAACACGAACACGAACACGAGCGAGAGGGATTTTGAAGGAAATCATAACATACATGACTGATTTGGAGTATTTAATTTTTAATTTATTTAATATAGTCTCTAAATTTTTTGTGCATGTTTAATTTAGTCCCCGAATTATATAAAAATATTCAATATAATTTTTCTATCAATTCAAGTTCAGAGGCTACATTCAACACTTTCAATATATATTCGGGGATTACATTGAACATTTACCGAAAGTCCACAGAACACATTGAATAAATTAAAAATTTATGAATCATATTACATATTATATTTATGGGTTAATACCACCAAAAATCCCAAACTGGTACGCGCGTAACAATTTTACCTCGAAACTTTTTTTTTTACCACCAAAAACTCAAAACTGATACATCTGTAACAATTTTACCCCAAACTTTTTTTTTTACTACCAAAAACTCCAAACTAGTACACCTGTGACAATTTTACTCCAAACTGGTAAATCCGTGACAAATTTACCCTAAACTATTTTTTTTACCATGAAAAACCCCAAACTGGTACACCTGTGACAATTTTAACCCGAGCTAATAATTTTTTAATATTAATTTGTATTATTTTGAATTTTTTTATTTTTTCTTTTCTTTTCTTTTCTTTTTTTTTTCTTCATCTTCAACCTCTGGCTGGTCGCCGGCGAGGTCGGCCCCGCCGACCGCTAGCGAGGCTTGATCTCGCCGGCGTGGGCGAGGGCCGCCCTCGCCCTCGCCCTCACTTGGGCGGGCGAGCACAGCTCTCGCCCGATGCCGGCGAGGACCGCCCTCACCAAATTCGATGAAAGCCCTCGCCCGACTCAAGCGAGGGCTACCGTCGCCAGATCTGGCGAGGGCAACGGTGAGGGTAGCGCCGGCTTCCGCCTCTAGCCGGTCGCCGGACTGGCGACCGGGCAAAGGTTGAAGATGAAGAAAAAGAAAAGAAAAAAAAACAAAAAAATTAATAAAAATTCGAAAAAATAAAAAATAATATTAAAATTTTAGTTCGGGTAAAATTATCACATATGTACCAGTTTGGAGTTTTTTGTAGTATGCTCAGGGTAAAATTGTCACAAGTGTATCAGTTTGGGATTTTTTTATGATATGTTCGGGGTAAAATTGTTACAGGTATACCAGTTTGGGGTTTTTGGTGATAAAAAAACAGTTCAGAGTAAAATTGTCACACGCGAATCAATTTGGGGTTTTTGAAGGTATTAACCCTATATTTATATCATTATCCTTATCCATTATAGCATTTTTACATGATCGTGAAATATTATGTATATTTGTTACGGTTATCATAGATATTTTGTGTGCGCATACTTTAGTGATAAGTTAGTTAATCAAGAGAATTAAATATAAACGCAAAGTTGGTCTGCGTAATCATGAAGTTGGCTTACATATAAACTATTTTGTTCCTGATATATAGGGTTAATACCACGAAAAACCCTAAACTGGTACACTTGTGACACATTTACCCCAAACTATTTTTTTGACCATAAAAAACCCCAAACTGGTACACCTGTGACAATTTTACCCCGAACTATTTTTTTGACCATCAAAAACCCCAAACTGGTACATCTGTGACAATTTTACCCTGAACTTACCACAAAAAATCCCAAACTGGTACATATGTGACAATTTTACCCTGAATTAAAATTTTAATATTATTTTTTATTTTTTTCGAATTTTTATTTAGTTTCCTTTTTTTTTTTTTTTCTTTATCTTCAACCTCTGGCCGGTCGCCGGTCCGGCGATCGGCCAGAGGCGGAAGCCGGCGAGGGCCGCCCTCGCCCGGCGTCGAGGCGAGGGTCGCCCTCGCTGCGTCGGTGAGTGGTGCCTCGCGCGCTCGGCGAGGTGTCCTCGCCCACCCAGGCAAGGGCGATCCTCGCCCGGCTCAGAGAGGGCGCCCTCGCCGGATCGGCGAGGGCGACCCTCGCGCTGCGTCGGGCGAGGGTTGCCTCGCCGGCGTCCGGCGAGGACGGCCCTCGCCCGGCGGCTGCGAGGTGGCCCTCGCCGGCTTCGCCTGCAGTCGGTCAGCCGGACCGCGGCCGACCGCCGAGGTTGAAGTGAAGAAAAAAAAGAAAAGAAAAAGAAAAATTCAAAAAATTCAAAAAAATAATATTAAAAATTAGTTTGGGTAAAATTGTCACATGTGTATCAGTTTGGGGTTTTTTGTGATATATTCGGGGTAAAATTGTCACAGGTGTACCAATTTGGGTTTTTTATGGTCAAAAAAATAATTTGGGGTAAATGTGTCACAAATGTACCAGTTTAGGATTTTTCGTGGTATTAACCCTGATATATATATATACCTCTACATGTCCCATCCGATATTTTTGAGATGATGTCACGGGTGGTGTACTTATCCTTTCTCAAAAAACTTTTCCTTTTTTCCACAATAATCCTTCCCCTAACTTTTTTATTTTGCCGGCCAATATTGTGGGCATGGCCCATTGAACGCAAAGCTTGCAATTACTATGGTTAGATCTGACTCCGAAATTCACCGTCGCCATGACTTCTCAAGCTCGAAGCTCACGATCCTGACCGCTCAAGCTCGAGACTTAGGCTCCCAACCATGAAAGAGCTCGAGTGGTCATGACAGTCGCGAGCTGAAGATCCATGGGGGGGGGGGGGGGGGGGCCTTAGCTCGCGGCCATGGCTGGCCGCGAAGGGTGGTTACGAGCGGGGCATATTTATGAATTACATTGATTTAGGCTTCTTCTTGGGTTTTGTAGGGTTGGAGTACAAATACATTTTAAATGGTAAGTATGTAAATCAGTTTCCATTTTTACATTGGATTTTTAATGGTGCATTTCAACGCTATCTGTCTATTACTCTGTCTAGATGCTTCCTAATTTACATCGTACTTTTAAACCAAAGGGTTAATACTACAAAAAACTCTAAATTAGTACACCTGTAATAATTTTATCAAAAACTATTTTTATCACAAAAAACCCCAAACCGATATACCTGTGATAAATTTACTCAAAACTAATATTTTGACCATCAAAAATCCCAAACCGGTACATTTATGATAAATTTACCCTCCGTTAGTTTCTGTTAAATTGAATTAATATTACAAAAAATCACAAACTGGTACACCTGTGACAAATGGAGGATAAAACATAAAACTGGTATATCAGTTAACCGTCGCGTGTCATTTAACAAAATAATTTGATAATAAAATTTAACAGAAATAAAATGAGGGCAAATTTATCATAAATATACCGATTTGAGATTTTTGATAATCAAAATATTAATTTAAAATAAAATTATCATAAATAAATTGATTTGAAATTTTTCGTGATATTAATAAAAAAGAGGGGACCAGAGATCAAGAATTTCTCCGACCGGGGAAGTCTTTTAAGGCGACAGGGGTGGCGGACCACCCATCCTCGTCATTCCCACGTAAAACGCTCTCATCCTAGGAAACTATAAAGAAAAGAAAACAAGAAACGCATCCATCGACGACCCAACGCGACCAACCTCCTCGCCTCTTCCCACACACGACCCCAGAATCAGATTCGGCCATCTGTCCCTACCCTTCATCGCCCGCCCGCTCGCCCGCTCTCTCGCTCTTGCTCGCCGCCCAGAACTTCCAATCCGTACGTCTTCCTCTCTCCTGCGTCGATCTGTCGTGGTGGGTCGCGTTAAACCCAGCGTCCTCACGTTTGTGACGTTTCTTGCTCTGTGGAATTCGCGCTCTTCGCGGTTCTTGGGTTTGCAGGGGGAAGTCCCGTTTGATCGACCGCTGCTGGGGTTTCGATTTGGTGCGTGTTCTTTCGTTTGCTTTGGTGGATTCAAGATCCGATCTCGCCCCGTGATGCTGGGCGATTGTCGATGCTTGTTCTGTTTCACTTTTGTTTTGTTTCTTGGCTCTGTTGTTATGCCGTCTGGGGGAGTCGCTATGTGTTTTGAGCTTCGTTCCTCTGCCCTTGCGTTGTTTGAGATCTATGATGACATGGGTGTATGTGGGAGGCTCTGGGGAAATCTTTATGCGTGTCCAGTGGCTTTGAGGATTTGTCCGGGCTAGGAAAGGATTGGCCTTGAAGAGCGTCGTTGGTTCTTTGTTGGTTGGTACCGAAAATTCGAAATCTTCTGTTGTAATTATATGCATTTGCTTCCAACTAATCCGACCTCAGCTCAGCGGGGATTAGTTTACGAGATGTTGATCGAATCTGCAGTTATTAAGTGTTCCGTTCTTCGTGGTAATCAGGGCGATTTGATGCAAATGTACCCTTTCTTTTCTTTTTCCATGTTATGTTTCCTTGGGAGTGGTTCTAATATTTTCATTCTATTGCCTGCTCTTTTCTTGTGCTTTCATTTCCACAACGTCTTCCATTCAGCTGGTATCTTGTCTTGCGCATACTTTATCCTTGCTTTGTTTATTTGACTGCCGTGCGGTCTCTGAAGCTATTTAGACAGAGTTTTCGAATGATTATTCGAAAATGCTTTCTTCTGTGTGTCGCGGGTAAATATCTTGTGTGCATATAGGCTCTATCATGGCTTGTCTGTTGAAACCGAAAACTTCACTAGATTTGTTGATTTTCGTTTCACGCTGTTTTTGCTTAAATTAAGAAAACTTGGAGATACTTTACAGGAATTATTTGAGGTCTTTCTTTTTTGGCTACTGAAAATTAATTGAGGTTGATTGATAAGATTTCGAGGGTTTTAATATCTTTCCCTTGTAGTAAAAAATTAGCTGTGGCTGAAATTAAGAACAGTATTCTGTTTTTAAGTTCTCTGCATTCTTGAAAGTTTGAAGTTCCCATGATCCATTCTTTTGATTGTGCCTTTATAACTACAGTGTCCAATACTTGAATAATGCTTCATTTCTTTGATCAGAAAAGACTCGATGATCTAATGGAGTCGAAAGGTGGCAAGAAGATGTCTAGTAGTAAATCTTCATTCTATGAAGCTCCTCTTGGTTACAGCATTGAAGACGTCAGACCCAATGGCGGCATCAGGAAGTTCCGATCAGCTGCTTACTCCAACGTATGTTGTAATTCAATTGCAAATACATTGGTCAGAAGTATTTAAAATTGTGGAGAGCCTTACATTAATTTCAACATTTTCTGGGGCTTTGTTCATCATTAATATTTTGTTAATTGATACTGAACGTTGACAAACACGTCATTTTCTTCTCCATGCAGTGCGTGCGCAAACCATCCTGACATCCCCCGTTTGGCATCTCGACCACTTGAGGTGGTCAATTTTCTAATCTCAAAATAATTTAAATTTTTCTTCTCCTCCAAGAAAAAGTCTTTCTGCTCCTCTCTTCCCCCTCTCTGCAACTTCAATCTCTCTGCAAGCTGGGGCGTCCTTGTTACAGCAATGGATCTGGAAGTTTCTGCAATTGGCTTTGAAGGTTATGAAAAGAGGCTAGAAATATCTTTCTACGAGCCTGGACTTTTTGTTGATCCAGATGGGAGAGGTCTCCGGTCGCTCTCTAGGGCTCAGTTGGATGAGATTCTAAAACCAGCCGAATGTACCATAGTCTCGTCACTCTCTAGTGACTATGTCGATTCCTACGTGCTTTCAGAGTCTAGCCTCTTCGTCTTCCCCTATAAGATTATCATTAAAACCTGTGGTACGACAAAGCTACTTCGGTCCATTCCACCCATCTTGAATTTGGCGTGCTCTCTTTCCCTCACTGTAAGATCTGCAAAGTACACTCGCGGTTGTTTTCTATGCCCTGGAGCTCAGCCATATCCTCACCGTAACTTCAGTGAAGAAGTTTATGTCCTTGACCGTTATTTTGGAAAGCTTGGCTCAGGAAGCAAGGCCTATCTGTTGGGCGGATTTGACAAAACCAAAAGATGGCACGTGTATTCTGCTTCGGCAGATGAAGTCGAGTCTGTTTCCCCTGTTTACACCATGGAGATGTGCATGACCAGGTTGAACAAGGAGTCGTCTTCTGTGTTCTTCAAATTCCAAACGGGCAGTGCAGCTGCTATGACCATCGAATCTGGAATCAGAAAGATTCTTCCCAATTCCAAGATTTGTGCTTTCGAATTCGAACCTTGTGGTTATTCCATGAATGCTGTTGAAGGCTCTGCAACGTCCACCATTCATGTCACACCAGAAGACGGGTTTAGCTATGCCAGCTTTGAGGCAGTGGGCTATGACCCAAACGATATCGATTTCAATCAGTTGATTGGGAGGGTACTGGCTTGTTTCCGACCAAAGGAGTTCTCCGTGGCGGTGCATGCTGATGTTGCGGCTAAGTCACTCGAGGAAAACTGTTCTCTGAATGTTAAGGGGTACCGCAGTGGAGAGCGGTGCCTTGAAGAGCTGGGAGCAGGCGGTTCCATCATGTACCAGCGGTTTGCGATGACCGGTCGCTTCGCACGGCCTATTACATTGATGTCTAAAATCTGAACACTGCTGGAGGGAGGAACGGGGATGGTTCCTGTTCTACTTTATGTTTGCATTTCTTAGTCAAACAAAGTCACTTCATACTTGTCAAGCCTACTGGATATTTTGGCGTTACTGTGTTGCTCATCATGCTTCTCTTTCATTGTTGGAATATCATGGACAAAATTTACCAATTTGGTATATGTTGGTGTGGCAGGAAACTGAGATGCTATCTGTCCTGTTGTCTCTGGTCTGACTTTTGAAACGTGCATTACTCTGGGCAGCTCATTGACATGACCTTCTCGATAGTGTACAGGAGTTCGTTGCGCTGAAGTTGGTGCTTCGCCTATTGGTGTTTTTCTTCTCTCCTAACCAAAAAGGTCATATCCATGATCGAGCAAAGATGAGTGTATGCAGTAAATAGCCACAGGACAGAGCGCTTAACCACACTAGCCTAGTTAAGCCGAAGCTAAGCCTGTATGTCTTGAGCGTCAAACCAAAGGCCAAAGGACCCCAAAAATGTCCTGATAATGCCTTTTCGTTCTGTCACGCCTACCGCAGTGGAGAGAGTGTTTCAGAAAAAGGTCCAATTTTCTTTATTGAGGTGATGCATACATGCTGAATGATGATGGCTCTACAACATAGGAACATACCATGAGGATATTGTGGTTTCTGACAATTGATTCTGTGAAATCGGAGTCTCTAGCTAGGTCCGATGATATTTTTATTGCTAGTCTCGGGGGATCGACCTCGGGTCTCGCCCCTTCTCTCGATCTCTTTAGCCTTTACCATCGATCCCACCACAACGCCAATGTCACCGACGCCCAACATCATGAAAGGATTGCGTGACCGTCTCGGAACATTATCATTTCCTACATAACTTCAATTTTCGCGGCCTGGCATGGCATCATCACAAGCTAATGAATATATGCGGGCAAGCAAACTTTCTGCTTAGTGACAACGTTATATTTGGGTATTTCAACAAATAAAATCTTTTCAGAGCCCCAACATCAACTTGTGGCTGTAGTTTAGTGGTAAGAATTCTACGTTGTGGCCGTAGAGACCTGGGCTCGAATCCCAGCAGCCACAAACAAACTGTATTTTTCCTCTTTTCCCGCTTTTAACGTTTTTAACTGCCCTCTCCTCGTTTATTTTTTTCCTTAACTTGTGCTGAACACACAAATCGCTGGAAGAAGACACAGAATGGTCAACACGCAAGCGGCGCAAAAGTAGTGTTGCAAGTAGAGAGGGCTTTGGTCAACCCCCAGTTCGACCCACTTCTACTTTTGACCTGACTTTTTGGGTGCTCCAACACTGATTGGCAATCAGAGCACAATCTAAAAGTTGCAATGGGAAGGAACGGTTGGGACATGCTGTAATGGAATCGAACCAGAAAGGGTTGGTTATCGACTAGTGTGATGGGCTGAAAAGAGGCACATCCCCCTTTGCTTGATTTCTAAGGGGAATAAAGAATCCACCTAATTGATGATGATGATGATCCTGATCTTATTGGCTTTGGCCGTCGAAGAAATATATTCTCCGTCTCTTCATTTATATAATAATTTCGATCACTGTCTATGTTTAAACTACTTGCATGGCCCCAATTGCAGCACTAGTAAGTGCTTCTGAGCTAAGGGAAAAGAAGTTTGCCCTCCACTTCCCCATCTCTTTGTTACTTCTTTTCACTATAATAATGTCGGGCACTAACAAAAGAGACTGACTTATGAGATCAACCCGATTCATTTGTTAGTTTAATCGCAAAAGAGACGTGTGTTGTTCACAGTGACAAACAGTAATTCGCCTCCTATTATGCATATGGACTACATATCATCGAAATTCAGCACCTAAAAAGAAGAAATTCTCTAGACCTTCTTTGGTCCACAAGCATGCCCTGATTGAAGTCCATCGCCATGAGCGGACAAGATCTACTCGAGTGGCTTGATTAAAAGGGATGACTTGTATGCATAATAAGAAATGCTTCTTGAGCACAATCACATACTTCAAATATAGAATCTCAGGTTAAAACAAAAAGTTAGGGCCACTAGAAGTTCTCTCTGGAACGATGATTCTCTTTGGGTCTACCCACAAATGATAATCCTTTGTACGTGTCGGACTACTTCAGTTTGACCTAATGATGATTATCTTTGTGGTCCAAGGAAGGGCATTACCCTGTGGAATCAACGGGGACATATAGTGCACGATGATGATGATGATGATGATGGTGGTGGTGGCGATGCATGGGATCTGCATTGCACGTGCATTCACTTACACTAAGCTCGTCAAGATTGTTGCCTCTTTGAAGGGAGAGGGAGAGGGAGAGGGTCCCTTGCGATTGCTTCCATGATGATATATCGTTGTCCCATTGAACCCATTGCAGGGTTCAGCACAGTGATTAAGCCACTCGACCATTCTCCGGTAGTGAGAGGATCCAAATTTGAACCCCACCGTCGCCGATTCCTTTAGAGCCATCCTCGTAGAGAGTCATGGACCCGTACGATTCCATAGACACACCATTTCCTTTAAAACCACGGTTTCAAGTTCGATTGCCACCGCCATTTTAGTCGGTTATCGAAATGGTGCCCCGATACTTATCCATACACACGCGCACATGATGCAAGTATCCCTAGAATGTGTGTTCATTTGTTTCCTTTGAGGGAAATCTACCTATGGCTCATCAAACATTGTTAACATGGAATCTTGTGGGAACCATTTTTTTCATCATGTGCGGTTCCTTCCAATGTAATGACACGATGAAGTCAGTCAATTACAGACTTTTTTTTGTTTCTCAACTTTTGTCAGCACACTAAAATTCAAAATCAAAACTGACGAGCTTGTTCAATCACGCCATCAACAACTACGGCGGTCAACGCAATTGTTCCATTATATACTTGTTCCCATGGGGAGTCACCTACCTGAAGAATTGACCAACTTTTTTAGGATACTATATCGCACGAGAGAAGCTTTAAAAAAGCTCTCTTGCTTTTTTGAAATTTCTGCCTCCTTTGCTTTTGAATAAGTTAATGCATTGTTGGTTGGACAATCTCACAGTCGGATCGTCTGAGGGGACGTTGGATATGTGTTAGGATAGAATCCATAATGCCGTCCAACTAAGATTAATCTCAGTGGGTGGGGAGGGCGAGAGAAAGAAGAAAGCTTTGAAATAATTGAGGAGGCAAAGATCTCACGAGAGGCCATTGCTTCACCAATCTCGAGCTCCCCTGTCTCGGGATTCTCACCCTTTTCACCTAATGATTTTTGCACTATAGTTTCATGACCCGAGAATTTTGGATTCCTGATAGTCACAGTACAAGCCTTTTGTCATTGGACTGTTCAATCGCCGGGTTACGTGGATGCTCTCGATCCATATGAACTCTAGATCATGTTAGTTCCAGATGAAGTTCGCACGATGCGATGGCTGAAATCGGTCTAAACTATTTGTAATATGAATCATTCGCTTTAAGCCTCTAACTTTTACTTCAGTTAATCATTCAATTGGCCCTCTTCAATGGCTATGTTAAGATTAATCCTCACTAAAGAGTCCCCATAAAGACAAGTAGAACAAAGAAAGCAACACGACAGAGATAGGAAAATTCTGGGGGTTTCCTCTTGAGGTATACGGATCGATCATTTGTTGGCTCTCCATTTCACTAAACCTAGTTGAAAGGTTGGGGAGTAAGATTTTATTGTTTGTGTTGAATTAGTGGGTTTGTCCCCACTTGGAGTGCTTTCTTTAACTGGTTGATGTCATTGAACATTTTGAAGTGGCTCGGGAATCTAATTTAATTAATTGAAAGCTTTATGGATGACATTATATGTAGGACAAAAGTTCGGAAATCAAATTGAATCAATTGAAAGCACATGCAAGACATCGCACATCAAAAGTTTGGGGACTAACAATATTATTATGATCAATAAAAACCTTTTTTGTTCTCTCGGGAAAAAAATCAAACCGACTTAAAATAGCTTGATACTTTCACGTAGACCTGTTAAAATGGGTCAAAGGCCAATTTTTTAACCCACATTCGATAGGTTGAGTTAGTAAATGAGTTATAAATGAATTTAGAATAGTAAAATCCAAAATAATATGGCTATTAAATGGATTCGCAACTTACTTAGCCTTAACACACATCTATGATTTTCTCTTCAATCTCTCGTTTCGTGCTCTCACCTCAATTTGGGTATGAGTTTTCTTAAATTTGGGTTATTTATGGAAATGTTTTAACAATATGAGTCGGATTGGGTACGAGTCACTAGATTTGTATTACATTTAAATAGGTCAAAACGGATTAAATGGATCAATTTGAGTCGAACCATTTTCGATCTGACCCGACCCACCCATTTGAAGGGTATAATTCAACTTTCCACCTGCTTTACTATACTGTATAGTCTGATGGAACAACGCCTTTTCTAAACATATGCATGATTGAAGGAATTTTTTTCCTGTATCCATCTTTTGAGAGATTATCTAGATTTTGTTTAATTGTAGAGTAGCTTTGCTTTATTAATATTCTCTCTCTTTTGCTTTTTTGAACTAGTGGCAGGCACGGTGGTGCCCTTCAAGTCATTCACTGCCAAACACATCTGATTCTTTCTTGGCTCTTGAGTCCCAACAAGAGCTGAACAAGTGGATTCATTTTTTTGCTTTCCTGATGATATAATAACATAAGCAAGAGGAGCAAAGGCAAGAATTGTTTGTCCTAAGGAGACCTCACCCATTTTCCTAAGTAGTACCAGATCAAGACAATAACCTGAAGCTGTGTTTCTAGGTTCTTGGCGTCTGTTATTTCCTTTGGACTCTGCTCGGATGGGAGTGAAGAGAGCGAATTCCTCTCTGTGCTGCGCAGTTTTGCTCGGCTTGTGGGCTAGTGTGCATGGGTTGATCTCTCCTAAAGGAGTCAATAATGAAGGTAAATCAGGACACATGCTCCAATAAGTCCTGCATCATGTTCATCTTTTCTTAACCTGTGGCTCTAGAAATGATCTCTTCCTGTTGCTGCGTAGTTCAAGCTTTGATGGACATAAAGCGTTCGCTAGTGGATCCTCACGACCTTCTGAACAATTGGGACGAGAACGCGGTCGATCCTTGTACCTGGAATATGATCGTATGTGATGCTAGTTTCGTCACTTCTCTGTAAGTAGCGCTAGCTAAAGAGCCAAACTTATTTACCAAAAAAAAATAGAACCGAACTTGTCCAAGTTCGTGATATCAGATATTTGCACTAGGAAAAAAGTTTCGAGTTTTACTGAAGAAAAAGGATGGTCTTTTGATGCAGAGAAATTCCGAGCCAGAACTTATCTGGAACGCTTTCGCCTAGCATTGGGAACTTGATTAATCTTAAGAATTTGTGAGTGATCAACCGTTGCTCGGGACGAGAATCTCATTTGCAAGCTTCCTGTTGGAAATATAATGTTCTGATAAGGGTGTTGGTGCAATTATTTTTTCTGCAGGCGCCTTCAGAGCAACGACATTTCAGGATATATTCCTTCCGAGCTTGGCAAGCTCCAGAAACTCGAAATGCTCGACGTTTCCAACAACTCCTTCTCTGGTGAAATTCCTAGCGAGCTGTCCCATCTCAAGAACCTCCTACAACTGTGAGTAGATTTCAGATCAAACCGCAAAAAAACAATGAAAGAGATGGAGAAGAGAGAGATTAGAGAGACTAGCACTGTTATGGAGTCATTAAGACATGTTTTCTGAATTGTGTCTGAACTTTGTGTTGTTGACTAGGAGAATGAACCATAATAACCTGTCGGGGGCAATTCCAGCATCCTTCACTAACATGACCCAGCTTGCTCTTTTGTAAGTTTCCGAAACACCGATCAGTCCTTCTAATTTAGAATCCGGATCTTTCATTCTGCTAGAATTACGAGAAAAGAAGAAGCTCATGGTAATTTAATCTCTGGAATTCTAGGGATCTATCTTACAACAATTTGAGCGGTCCGATGCCTAAATTGCACGCGAAAACATTCAAGTAAGCCGCTTACGTCTTCAACTGTGTAAAGAGCTCATAAGAGACATGTTTGCATTACTAATACTCCTTTTCTTTTACTGGAAAAAGTCTTCTGGAGAATCCAATGTGCGGCGGCAGACGCGAGGAGTGTTTCCGGACTCCACCGACACCAATTATGTTTAGTGGGAACAATTCACTAAGTAAGGATTTTATACCCTGTTTTAGCAAGATTATTTAGCTTTTTATATCTGCCGTTAAGATTTTATTTCAGCTTCCATGATAACCTTCTCCTGTTGAACTATGCTTGCTTCAACTGTCTTTAGATTACATCCGTTTGGCATAAAACTCAGAATATTATTGACCATTAGATTTCGCATAGTGCTAACATATATTTTTCTTCTTTCACATGTTAAGATTCTCAGCCTTCTGGGAGACCCAAAAGCCACAAAGTAGCCTTGGCCGTTGGTTCAACCCTTAGTTGCATCTCCCTACTCATCTTCGGATTCGGCTTCCTTTTCTGGTGGAGGCGAAGGCACAACCAGCAGATCTTCTTCGACGTAAATGGTTCGTAATGCATCTAATGATTAGGAACAATAACTTGCTAATGGCATCGACCAACTGATGTCAACATGATCACCAATCCTGAACTTTCGTTCTCTCTGAATTACAGATCAACATCACGAAGAAATCAACTTGGGAAACTTGAAGAAGTTTCACTTCAGGGAACTTGCGAATGCGACAAACAATTTCAGCAGCAAGAACTTGATTGGAAAGGGTGGTTCAGGGAACGTGTACAAAGGGTGCCTCAGGGATGGGATGGTGGTTGCGATCAAGAGACTGAGAAATGTCAATGCCATCGGAGGCGAGATCCAGTTCCAGACAGAACTCAAGATGATCAGCCTAGCGGTGCACCGCAACCTTCTCCGGCTCTATGGGTTTTGTATGGCCACAACAGAGAGGCTTCTCGTATACCCCTACATGTCCAACGGCAGCGTTGCTTCTCGTCTCAAAGGTATCACACTCACACTCATTAGCCTGTTAAATATTCTTCGATGAATGTATGTGAAAAAATAAATTGTGGAGATCAACCAAACCCTAGAATCTCGCATGTATGACACTTTTGTTGTCTTGCAGCCAAACCAACCTTGGATTGGAGCACAAGGAAAAGAATTGCACTTGGTGCAGCAAGGGGGCTTTTGTACCTGCATGAGCAATGTGACCCCAAAATTATACATAGGGATGTTAAGGCCGCAAATATATTGCTAGACGTGTACTGCGAAGCTGTGGTAGGAGACTTTGGATTGGCAAAGATCTTGGATCATCGGGATTCCCACGTGACCACCGCCGTGAGGGGCACCGCAGGGCACATTGCTCCAGAGTACCTGTTGAGCGGGCAGTCCTCTGAGAAAACTGATGTTTTCGGGTTTGGAATCCTTCTGCTCGAACTGATTACTGGCCTGAGAGCTCTTGAGTTTGGTAAAGCAGCGAACCAGAGAGGGGCCACGCTTGATTGGGTGAGTAAAATTTTAAAGCACCCCTGGTGACTGTATGCTCTATACTGTTAGATCTCCTTATGATTTCGGAAGGTAAGAAATGCCGACAAGCAAGTCTGACAATTGCACGAGGTTGGCGTTATGATGGTTAAGCTCAAAAGGCCGTCTTTGGCTCTTAATCTGGTCGCGTGGCCGATGAATTTCTGTCTCACCTCTTTCCTATGCTAATCCAGAGGCTCTAACTGCAGGTTAGGAAGATTCACCAGGAAAAGAAGATAGAGATGCTAGTAGACAAGGACCTCAAGGACAATTATGATCGGATCGAGCTTGAAGAAATGGTCCAAGTAACTCTTTTGTGTACCCAATACCTTCCAACTCATCGGCCCAAGATGTCCGAAGTTGTCAGGATGTTGGAAGGCGATGGTCTCGTGGAGAAGTGGGAAGCTTCTCAGAGAGCTGATTCAACGAGGTGCAGAGCAGCAAACGAGTTCTCCTCCTCCGAGCGTTACTCCGATCTCACCGATGACTCCTCTTTGCTCATACAGGCGATGGAGCTTTCAGGACCAAGGTGAAGAAGTAACTCAAGATGGCGAAGAGCTATGGAAGAATGGAAGGAATATGAATAACATGATCATAACTAAGTCATGTATAGCAACATTAAAATCAATGCTAAGAGTGTACTAATGTTTCGCTGTATAGATTCTGATCCGTGGACTGCATGATCAGATTAAGCATCACAGATCGATTCTCAATTGTTTCTAGCAAAGGGAAAAAATTTCTCCAGCCCATGCCACCCGACCCCCAAAACAGAAGGGCTATAGAGGCGAAAGACATCATAACCTGTGTATAGATTTTGACTTAGGATGCAACCTATCAGAAGAAACTCTCTGAAAAGAATAAAAAAATTGATTCCAAGTCATGTAATTAGAAAGTTTGAAGTGCTTATTCACTTTATACAAGGAATGCAAAGAATATCTAATGATCAGACAAGAATGGATCCAAGCAGAAACCCAATCTTCTCAGAGAAAAAACAAACCAACATTAAGTAACTGTGTCGAATGTACAAGACATAGTTTAAAGCTCATTCTTGAATAAATATGATTTCCGCTTGAGACGAAGCCCGGCGAAACCTCAACAGCTGAATAAGCATATCCATTCTATCATGCTTAAAATATGTAGAAGGGCTTATAGTCATCGTCTTGAGCGCCGGAGAGTTGCGAAGCAAGAATTTTATGAGGTCCATCTCATGTGGTACGCCATTTACATCAGTCATCTTTACTACTTTCAATTGTTTGAATGTCCAATCCGCACGGCATTCCCTCTCCCAAATATCTGAAGAATCAGGCGCTTCTGCAGGTGATGTGCTCGCAACCACCTAAAAAGAACAAAAGAGGAGATAGGATACACAGGTGCTGCATGCTGTGCAAAGACTAACAACTAGAAAGAACTCGATCACTCACCGAAATGAGAAATTCTTCTAAATTAGGAGAACCTGTTATCAACCGCAGAAGCACAAGAACCTCTGTCATGTCTTCGAAGCTCACCTCAAACAACTCAATGATTTTTAGATGATCAAATGTGATGGGGAGTGATCCAGGATCACCACCTATACTCAAATACTTTGAGACATGCAAAAAACAAATACAAGTTAGAATGCAAAGTCACTTACAGAGAAAAAACAAGAAAGTGATCATTCCCGTGTATACATATTAAACTCGCTTCAATCTGCAAGCTAGAGCTCGAATAGACATGACACAAAAACAAAATTAGTAGAATAGGTAGTACCTTTGCGAAATAAGCACGTCCTGTGAGACTTTCAAGACGAGGTGCACGACCAAGACACTTCACAAAGTTGCAATTCAAACTTTGCTCAAGCTCAAAGTGTTCAGCCACGTCGTCAGTCATGTACATAACTACTGACAGGCTAAGGAGGAGAGGAGTATTTTCAAGGAAGATGTCTGTAAAATCGCCCTCCAGATACAAGTACTTAAGATTTGGAGCACGGATGGTAATAGCAAGACCGTCATCAAAGTATGATAATGCCAAATTTTCAAGAAGAGGACAATTCCAAATGAGGTTCTCAATAGCATCGGCAGCAACCAAGACCCGATGAAGACTGAGGCTCCTCAAATACAAGAATCCCTCAAAACGAGGGGGTGGATCCAACTCACAACAAGATAGCTCCAAATGAGTCAACTTCTTACAACAAAAAAGACACGAGGGTATCCGTACCCATTCATCCTCCCCTAACTTAAGAATCAATTCTCTGACATCACTAATGCGCGAAAGGAAAAGTATCCATTGATCGATATCGGGGCAGCTCTGCAAGTAGCGCGTGGAGACCTGAAACTTATGGATCGGCCCTTGATGGAGAAACAAAGCCCGTGTAATGAATTTCACGAGACTCCCCTCAACTACGTTCTCGTCATGTGACGAGCTCACGCATTCGTTGTCAAATACAAGTTCAGTAATCGAAGCCCATTTGTACCTCCATTTCCTAGACAAAATGCTAGTCTTCACAGCATCCCTAATCGGCAGTCGAGTGAGGATGCTTTCCAGAATACTCTGCGGCAGATCGCTTATGAGATCATCCATGAGTCATACCCAGCAAGATTTCAACAAGAACCCTATACCCAAAAATTTCAAAAAAAAATCATAAGCTAAAGACCTGAAAAGATATACTTCAACATCAAAGACAGATCCTCTCAGCTTCATTTAACAACATCAAAGGAAACTTAAGCAACTTAATCGGCAGAAAAGTTTCACCAGAACGAACATCAACATTGTAAATCCTATGACTCCACATTCAAGTAGATCGACCAGACTCCCTACTTTCACGAGAGCATCCAAGAAAACCAAAAAAGAAAGAAGGATCAGGAAACCCCATTCATACTTCTCCCGAAAACCGTGCACCCAGAATCCAAATGTTCAAACTTTCGGTGCCCGGAAAGCATTGGAAAAACAAACACTACCCGGCCAAAGCAGAAGACCAATGATCAGCGATTACGACGGGCAATCCATTTCTCGGAACTCGCAGGGACCCATGAAAGGGCAACGATCACTCGCGAGGTGCACAAAAATTCCCGCGATCTCTGCCGTGATCAGAGCCGAAACGACGCACACGAACCCGCAACACCGACCACGAACCGGCCGAGAAAACCGAGCGAGAAAAAAGAAACAGAAATCGAAAAGACGGAGGACCAAATCGAGCGGAAATGCAGAGCACGAAAGGAATACCGAAAGCGGTACGGTACCTTGACTCTGCCCACGTCGGTCTCCTGTAACGGAACGTCGCTCTCAGAAGTCCGTCGCCGAAAGGAACAGAGAGCTTCCTCGCCTGATACGTTTTCAGTTTTGGGTTTCATCATATTATTATGTTAATACCTCGGGTAAGAAGGTCCCGGTCCGGTGCAGACCAGACCAGACTTCGTTTCTGTTCGGACAGAAACTGATGGCCATGATGTCCAAGCCCAGCACAACCAAGGTAAAGTTCTCCAGTTCTCCAGTGTGATAAGCCTGGCCCACAAAACCACTTAATTAACTTGAGGATTAAGTTAAAAGAGGAAATGCTATGAACGGTCTTTGAACTTCCATGAACTTTCGATTTATTCGACGTAATCCCTGAACTGTAGCTTAATGTGCGCCGTGATTCCTGAACTTTCAATTTGTTCAAAGTGGATCATGGATTTTTGATATATGATTAATTTAGTCTCTGGACTTTTATGAAAATGTTCAGCATTGTCCATTAACTTGAATTAATGGAAGGACAACATTGAATATTTACATATAGTTCAGGAACTAAATTGAAGATGTATAAAAAATTCAGGGACCACATTGAACAAATTAAAAGTTCAGGAATCACATTGAACATTAGGTTAAAATTCAAGGATCACATTGCACATTAGGTCAAAATTCAAAAACTATTTATGTTGTTATCCCTTAAGTTAATCCCCGGATCAGGACCTTCTTTTACAAAGTATAATGCGATTAACTCTCCTTTTGATCCTCAAAGTTCCTTTGGCGTGGCGCTTACTTGGCACACTCCCGACACGGCCTAATTGCTAGGTGGAGCTGACGTGGCATGCGCATAAGAGAGAGAGAGAGAGACAAATAGTAGAGACAAGTAGAGGAAGAGGACGGGGCCGATGCTCCACCAATGACATGGGTCACCAAACCAACCCTTGGACTTGGAGGTTATGCTTATCCGGATCAGGTAAGTTTCTTATTTGCTGCTGATGTTGTTGGAAGCGTGCAGTAGAAATTTATTGTCTTTATTCAAAAGTTTAAACTGATAAGTTACGAGACAACTAAAATATTTATTAATTACTCCACACCACACCGGTTCTCGAATTGACTTTTGCAACACAACTCGTATGTGTGTCTCAACAATCTTTTCATCATGTGTGAACTCCGTGTTAGGTCTACCTCCCCCTCCCCCCTCCCAATTAATTTAGATATTCTTATGAGACATCAAACTTGGTCTTCTTTCCATAAGTCTCCTTCACTAGATTGAACTGTTCGAAAATTGGTCATGAGATTCCTTAAATATTCATACCAATCAACTATCAGCATTAGTTGAGAGCGTGTTGTAGAAGTCCAATACCAAAGCGAGCCCAAATTTAAACTCGTTAACATATCTAATTGAACTCATATTCATTTAAAATTAAAATACCGAGTTATGAGACAACTATAATATATTAGTTGTTCTACACCACCATACCAATTCTTTGACGTCAGACTTCTTGACTGTAACTCACACGTGCACCATAACCGATATAATATGACACCTCTCGTACCAATAACCCCTTAAGTGTTTTCCCACATTGGCAAGATCATGTCCAAAGTTAATAAAATGTTGAAAGTGGGGAAAGGTTTTTGATCAATAGTCATATAGAGGGGTTGCCTGAAGGAGGAGAAGCGGTTATATAAGCTGTTCCTAAAACACTCTATTGCATAAATCAAGTAAATTAGAAATGTTGATTGTAGAGAAAAAGGTTGGAAGATTCACTTGCAATTTTGTCATGAGTTATGAGACCAAAAGAGCGCTTAACTCGTTATTATTTTGAAAACGAAGAAAAGAAAAGAAAAGAGAAGAGAGAGATGTTTTTCCCGTCTGTCTCATTTTTTTGTTGAATTTCATCTTGATATTCTATCTTTTCCTAGCTTTTAGTCAAGATTATCACTTAGTTGTTTGCCTTTAGTAATTGGATATTATCAACCAACTGTATTACAATTTCACAACTTTGATCAATTATATTGTTACAATAATATGTTATATATGAGAATAACGGCTAAGTAGTTATATATTTCATTATTTTAATTAGGAATAAGTGCACTGAAAGTTCTAAAACTTGTTATGAAAGTATAATTGAGTTCTAAAATTTTAAAAAAGTGCAATCAAATCTTAAAATTTATCATGAACGTGCAACCAAGTCCTAAAAATTTTAAAAAGTGTAATCAAGTCTTATAACTTATCACAAAAGTGCCATCAAGTCCTAAAATATTCACAAAATGTAATCAACGGAACGACTTGATTAGACCAATTTAACAAATTTTAGGACTTGATTGCACTTTTCAAAAGATTTAGAATTCAATTACACTTTTGTGATGAGTTTTACGAATTCCAATACACTTATCCCTTTTAACTATTGATGGACGAGCTTGATGGAGAAGCCAGTCCCTAAAAACAAACTGAAGTCCAAAATCATAATTATTAGAATTGATCAATTTTCGATTCGTACGATCAATTTGAGGTCTAAACAATACGTGCTTATTAAGTGAATCACTAATCTCTAACATTTCTAGGGGAATATATCGATTCATTAACAAATCTGCCATTTGACATGTATTGATCGACTTAATCATTTTTTTTAATATTTATCTATCAAATGATGCATTTTGGAGTTCTTTGAATAGATACGCTATATTTTGATAGTTTCAAAATGATCGAAAGTACAGTTTGGACTTCACATTGCAATAATATATGAAATGGCATATGAAGATTTATGGCTTACATTTGAACGTGATTCTTATCTCTATAAAACAATGGAAAATTATAGTTTCTTATATCATGTGCGATCCTCATGCCCACTCCTTGCCTTCTTTCAGCTTTATAACATGAAGGCAAAAAAGATCTAAAAGTCACCATGAATGAAAAGCTTTCATTGTTTAGAAATTCACTCTTGAACTAACAGCAATTCATGATAGCAAAATTGGAACCTTCACATTATGTAAGATGATATAGCTCAATCGGTCAGGCATGAGATTGCACAATGGACTCCCTGTATATTCCAGCTATCATCTCATAGAACAATTCAAGGAATTTATGGACTATCACTTGTTGTATTGATCGCTTTCAGAATGTCAACTTAAATAGCAAGTAAACTATCGCTACTTCTCCTGAAAGGGGGAAGAAGAGAGAGAATGAAAAACTCCCGCCAGATGGACACAAAAATTTGCTAGACCAACCTTCTGTTTTTGCAACAAGGAACTTCAAGATCAGGACACCCTCCGTTCCCAGAGCGACTGCTTTCCAGGACAGAACAGAAGGACGGGCTGCATGGCCACTTGAACTCTACGTTAGAACAGGACTTTGAAATTTTCTATAGGAAAGAATCAATTAGAGATGCAAAAATGAAGATCAAATTCTATTTGAAAGACCCTTGAACACAAGGATTCCTAAACCGCCGAAAGCCAGGGTGCAAATAAGAGGAATTTTCACCCGGTCTGTGTCAAGCACACTTTTCCTGCTCGTGGTTAGATGCTGGGATCTCTCCCCTAAGGTCTCGCGGAGAAGATTACTGAGGTTGTCGAGCTGATGCATGATTTGTCTCTGCCCACGTGCAACTGTTGATATCTAATCAAGGCATAACAGGGGCATAATCAGAAAACATGATGAAGAAGAAGATTAACTAACTCTCCATCTCAAATTCTAGGATATAGTGGATGGCAGAAAACTTGCACATGCTTGTTCATTCAGTAATATAGTAACGGTCAAAATACCAACAAAGAAAGAGACAGTAAACTATAGCAGAAGACACATAGACAAGATAAAGTCTACCTCTTCCATCAAAGGAGACTCCTTAGCAAGTTGGGAGGATGACGAGGAATTGGGCATCATGGATCCAGTCAAAGAACCGTTTCCCAAACCAGAAATAAAATAAGAAGTTGGAGCTGATCCATTGCAACCCTCAGGATTGAGGGCCATATTTTGTTGGCTCAAGGAACTCTTCTTTATTGTCAACTTGGAATTCAATTCTTCAATACGGGTGGTAAAATCATCCATTCTGTCATTCAGGCAGGAAATTTGATCTGAAAGCTGAGTAATGATACCCTGTAAGGAGACAAGGCAAATCAACGAGATCAGTATAAATTAAGGCTTTACAACAATCAAAAGAGAACAACATTTCCAGACAAGTCACCTGGTTAGGTAGTGTTGTGGATGCACCCGAGATTCTATCATCATATCTTGGATTGCTGATAGCAAAGCCAGCAAGCTTCGACAAATTCTTGTCCCTTTGGGTTGAATATGAGTGTGACATACCGCTGCCCATAGAATTTTACGTCATTCCAATATTTACAAAGGATAACGGAAGGGCAATTTTGTAAATGTCTACTTTATCCATGCCACATAAATTCAACCATGTTTCTCCTCCTTGAAAACAGATCTCAGCTGATCTAACCAATTTGTGCAGAATGTATGGGAATGTCATGTAAATCATTGCATCTGATTCCGGAGTACTTCATGTAAATATGATGTCCGAAAAGATAATTAGGCAAAAACTGTCGCACAACGCTATTACTCAAGTCTCTTCCTTTGGAAAAGAAAGCTTAAAGATGTTACTTAATTTAAATACAGCAGCAACACCCACTTAACGTGGAATTATGTACTAATTTACTAATCTAAGATGGACGATCAATGAAATTGGTCAATGAAAGAAATTACATCTATCGCGCACATCCTATCGTATCACATTGCGATCTGCAATCTTTCCCTCTTTCTCTGTTACACGTTTCCTGATAATCAATCCAAAAATTCGGGAAACGTTATACTGTCCTATCAAACTGGAGCCCTGAGCATGCACATGAAATTATTCCTTAACTCCTAAACTTGTAATACACATTGGACAACAATCAGAAAAGCATTCAGCTATCAATCAGATAGATATGTGATATTTGGATAAAGAGTTTACTATCAACGGGGTTATCCAGGATGCCTCTTTACGAAGCAC